GCCCTCGCGCCTGCGCAGGTGAGCGCCTCGGGTCCACTCGCGAGACGCTCGGTGTCTGGCGTGTCCCTGACCGCATCCCGGGCCCGGCCTGGCCCCAGGCCCGAGGTGTCTGCCCTCAGCGTCCGTTTCTGCGCCCGCGTTTCCCGCGACCTGCTCGGCGACGGCTCTTGGGTGGGTGAGGGACCGCACAGCGTGTGCCGGCAGGCAGGCACGTGCTGGCCACAGGCCCCGGCCTCTCGCCGGCCGCGCCACTGCGGCCCCATGTCCCCTGCGCGGTGGGCGCCCTCGCTGCCTGCGCCATCCTCCTGGGGTGCAGGGGGGCCTGGGCGTTATTAGCGCTGGACAGCAGCGGGGCTGGGCGCTTCTGACTGCAGTGGAGCTCCGGGCTAGGCCAGCTCCTGGCCAGAGCCGGCCCCTATGAGGCGTCCCGTGGGCGCCCCTCCCCCCCCGCCCCCGCCTACCGCACTCGGGACTCAGCTCCACCTCCAACCTTTTAAGGGTCAAAGAGGACACGCTAGCACCGTCCAGTGACCCGGGTGAATCAGCAAGCCAGCACTTGCCGGCATGGGGGGACGGCCTGCCCACGGGGGTCCAGGGCTGCAGCGGCTGCAGGCATCAAGTGTCCACACTTACACGGTGACCGCTGTGTGTCCAATCACAGAACAGCATGTCTTCTGCCCTCGGGCTGAGCCCGAGCGAGTGGACAGTTGACGAGGATGCAGGCCGGACAGTCCCCACCGAACTCACCCACGGGGAGGGCCAGGGAAGCGCCTGGTACCCCGGGATGTCCCCCCGGCACCGGGCCCATCCACACCCACGTGCCGACCCTGCGGGACACGACCACAGGCCAGTTTCCAGGGCTGCAGGGCCGCAGGGCGCTCACCGTGGGGCTGGGCGGGTGGAGTCCAGGGCCGGCTTCCGCCTCCCCGCAGGGCTCCTGCTGCCACGCAGCTGCGCAGATCACGCTGGCCCGGCCCAGCGCAAAATCAGCTCCAGGGCTTGGCCCCGGGTGACGACTGTGAAGCACAGAGGTGGAGAACAGGCGGGCGCAGCTCTGGGCAGGCAGGCGGCCGCCGGGAGCCCGAAACTCCCGCCGCGGGCAGGGGCCGACGCCTGGCCTGGGCGCTCCCCTCCGCCTCCTACCAGGCGGGGATGCCGACCTGCCCGGCCCCTGGGCTCGCCATGCACGCGCCACACACGTGCCAGGCACGTGGATGTGGCCGGTTCCGACGCAGCCCTCCAGGGTCGAGCACAGCCCTCCCGGCGCCGCACCCCCGGGCCCGGCCTCCCTCCCGCTGCCTGGCTCTGGCTCTCTCGCCGAGAGGGGCTTCTCCTCCCTGCGGGGCCCGGCTCAGTCCTGAGCCCACAGCGCCCTCCATGAGGCTTGCCCAGCAGTGTGCCGAGGCCCAGGGACAAGGGCCTCCGCCCCGGCATCCCCGTGGGCCCCAGGGCGGTGGATGTGGAGGCTGCGTCGCCACGGGTGCCTAGAACCAGGGCCTGGCTGGGTCCCGGTGGGAACTGATTCACACACACTTTCCAGAACGTGATTTGTCAAAACCTCTATTGACAGTTAAAAAAAAAAAAGGCACTGCTTGTACCCCAGAGGTATTTATTTATATTTTAGTTTGGGGGGGTTTGCTCCTCTAAACGTGGGGATGTCCCACTCAGCCTCCTCGTAGCCACCCACCCACACCCCGTGTACCTCGCCCCGGCCCTGCCTGCCGGCCTCCGGCAGCCCTCGCGTTCTCTCGCTGTGTCCGTCCCACGTGCCTGCCTGCTGCGCGTTGCCAATGATCGTTCCTTTTGTTGCTGATATTCCACAGGCGAGCGGAACCTTCCAGTGCCTAGCTTTCACTTTCTGACTTATTTCAGTTATCACCTAAATGTCCATCCATTTTGTCCTGCACGTCAACACTGTCATTTTTCAGTGCTGCGTAGTATTCCGAGTGTACAGACGCCCGTGGCCGCCTGTCTGTCAGGGCACTTGGTCATCCATGAGCCAGCGGTGGACAGCGCGCTGTGGGCGCCTCTGTACGAATGCGGGTTCCACCCCGTCAGGGTGAGTGTGCAGTGGGGGTTTTGCTGGCTCACAGATTTCCAGTCTTCGCTTACCCTGGCCCTTGGGCAAGGCGCCCCTAGCTCGTCAGAGTGACGTGCAATGCTGTCCCCGTGCCTGACTGCCGTTCTGCTCTGATGAAAGCGGGCACGACTGTAGCTTGCCGCGGTCTGCTCGCCTGCGTCCGCCCGGTTCCGTTGCCGCTGGAGCTGAAGCACCAGGTGCCGTCTGCATCCGTCCCGCAGTGTGCAGCTGTGTTCTCTTTCAAGTTTTTTTACATTTCTTTCTTCTATCTAGCTATTTGGCCTGTTTTGATTTATGGTGAATGGAGTTAAGTCTCGACTTAGTTTTATACGTTTTTGCATGTGGTTATCTGAATTCCCCAGTGCCATTTTTATTTTGCACTTTTGTGTAGAAGAACTGGAGGTAGACCAAGGAGTGGCCTGAGGGTTCTCGGGAGCGCGCTGGGAGAGAAGAGAATGCCCTTTTGAAGCACCTCTCCTTTCTCCCTTGTGTGGTGGCGGGCTCCCTTTTCAGGGCTAGCTGTTCACAGCGGTGTGGGCTTATCTCTGGGCTTTGCATTCCCGCCACTGGCCCGCGTTCCCGTTTCTGCCCCGATGCCGCGCTGTTCTGATCACTGTTGCTGTGAAGCAGTTCGCAGACAGGAGGGGTGACACCTCCACCTGACTGTTTTAGCTTTTCAGGACCTTCTGCGACTCCATATAAACTTCGCAATGGTCCTAGATAAACGCTGACCCCGACGGGGCTGCAGCGAGCCCGTCAGTGGCTTCGTGAAACGGCCGCGCTGGCCCCGTGCATTCTCCAGTCGTGAGCGTGGCTTGCACTTGTTCGCGTCTTCTTTCCTTTAACAGAGGCCAGCGCCCAGCCCCTTCGGCTCCTGGCTCCTCGCTAAGCTTGCCGGCGTGCACGTCACCGCTCGGTCTAGGTGAGGCCGTCCCACCTCCCTTCCTCTGGATGCACACGGAAACCCAGCCGGTCTTCATGCGCCTTCACCGAGCTCGCTGGGTCTTTGTCGTGTGTCTGATAGGCCCTTTGCATGTTGTCGCAGGCCTGCAAATCGACTTTCACGGCTTTCTTCCCCCTGGGGTTGGGGTTCCCTCTGCGTCCCGTCCCTTCACCTCATGCCTCTGCCTGGCGCCCGGCCTGCACTGTGCAGGGGGCACGGCCGCCTGGCGCGACCCCGTGGGAAGGCGTCAGCCTCCCGTCACCGCGTCACTGCGTGCGGGTCCACTCGGGTTTGTGTCGCGTGACTTTCAGGTAAGCTCACGTATCCGCACCTAGTGAGTGCTTTTCTCGTACCTGGAGGTTGTATTTTGTTCACCGCTTTCCAGCATCTTTAGAAATGACGCGATTTGTGTATCTGAGGTGTCGATGCCACGAGTGGCATGAACTGATTTGCATTTGCTGAACTAAGCTCAGTCTCTGGGCTGATGCGGTGGGCATTTAATCAGCATGTTGCGGTCTCTGGCTTGCCAGGGTTTTGTTGAGGAATTGTGCAGGTGGCCAATCATTTTCTAAGACTTTTTTCATAAGAAAGTAAATACATACAAAAATACAGGCGCAGTGTAATTCAGTGTGATGGATGGCGACGCCTGTGCGTCACAACGTGGAGTCAGTGAGGGGCTGCTGCTTCACACACCGGATCCAGCAGTCACTGCAGCAGTGCCTGGGCAGCACATTTCGTGGCACAGAAATCATCCCTCGGCGGTGGGGTGAGGGCGGCGGGGTACCGCCCTGTGCTCACCAACCAGCGGGAAACTCCCCGAGCTGGCTGTCGGGGCCCAGGGGGACCAGCGCCAGGCCCTGGCCGCCCTCAGTGCCTGCAGCCCAGCGCCCCGCACCCCACATGGCCGAAGGCCGCCGCTGGGAGTCTGGGCGGCGGACGGGGCCTGTCACCAAGCGGAGTTTAATTTCATGCCCTGACCAAAGCGCACCCCGCATTTCCCAGTTCTGGGAAGTAACTGAGTCTCCACAGAGCCTCCGCCTCTGGCCGCGGGTTCCTCGGGCGCTCTCCCGGGCACCCCGCCACTCTGCAGCCATGGGGGTGCCTGCGCCCCAGGCGCACCTCAGGGAACCCGGCCTGGCTCTGGCGGGCGCGGGCTCCAGGCGGCGAGTTCGCGGGCGGAGGTGCCAGGCCCTCCCGCATTTCCTTCCTGGGCGCAGCAGGGCCTCGGCCCGCGCCCACCTGGCCACACCCTCAAGGCCGGCAAGCGCGCCCTCAGCCCCTCAGCCTTGGCGAGGCTCCCCTGGCGCGCCCCTCTTTGCGGAGAGGTGGGGCGGGGCTCTGCGGGGCGGGGCTCTTCGCCCTGGGGCTCCGCGCCCCCCCCACCCCGC